AAAGCTTAAAACCAATTCCTATGAATCTAAAATTGATTCACCAATGCACATAATATTAATTTCACTAATATTATCCAAACTTTTCCCCCTACTTGGAAAAAAAAATCAAATTTTATATCTTGTGACATAATATCCATCCATCCATCCAAAATTTTACTTAAGTACCTTTTTGGATTGCCATGTGTATCTTAGAGAGATACATCTCGTTCTTAATAAACTCATGTTTCCAAACTCATTTGGAAATCCAAGAACTTACATAGTTGATTATGAGTCTAAAATAACCACATTTGATTATTACGTGTCCAAAGTCTATATGGTTCTGAAGGTACTAATATAGAGAAAACTTTACTAAGTGACATGTTACACTTAACCATCCCTATTTAAAAAAAAAAAAAAACGCAAATCAGACTGCATTATCTCAAGTCTTATCATATTCAGCAATATTCCATTCCTTCTACCTAATACACCACATAGTTTTTCATGAATAAGATATAGTCAATCTAATAAGAATTTATCTTTCATTACATAGATTATTGAACCTCTCCTTATAGAAATTAATGCTCTCAAATAGTTCTCAAAATCTTCACTTCTATAATCTAATTTTCTACTCTACTTTTGAAAAATCTAAATCAATACAATATCTTCAGCTTACGAAAATTAGAGGCATGAATGAAATGCTCACAATCCATCTATAAATGTAATAAAAAAAATAAAGTTCCATATATATCTTTATTAATCATAGCCCACAAAGAAATTCAGATGGATTTACTTAAGGAAATTTAGCTCTTACAATTTTAAATGCTTTTCTCAACTCAAATCATTGGACAAATACCTAAAACTATAATAAATATTACCACTGTGAATACCAACAAAACTATCACGTATAAGTTCAAATAAGAGACCATTCTTAGATAAACAACAACTAAGATCAAGTTTAGTGGAGTCTTTAATACTATCTTAATATCAAACAGGAGGACACTTTCTCCACTTTGGAACACTAAACTGCAGTTTCAGTCATATAAACCTCTAGTTCATCTTCATTATTTGTAAATAACAATTTTATATCAAGTCAAAGACTCGACAATAGACTAAAGGTACTTCTTGATCTCATATAAAGTGGGTTTCTAACTCTCGAATCCACTATACACAGAAAATAAAATATAATATGTATAGTGTTTATACGCAAACAATACTAAGAGGAATATATTCAAGAGCAATATTTTTTTAGCTCAACTACTTTTGAGCTAAAAGATTCAAACCGTATAGTTGAAGTATTTGAACTTTTATAATAATGATCCTCTACCAAAACCAAATTCACGTACTTCTATCTGATATGATCTTTTTGGTTCTCTTTCCAATCTCCTTATCTATCTCACATTTGTTTTTGGCTCATTTGAAACTTAAGTTTTGAAATCTTACGCGAACTAGAACGTTGATGCACAAGTATGTACTCGAGACTTAGCAACATCATGTAGCATGTCTTTTAATTCACATAGCGGATATTGTTAGAAAGAAAATTGACGCTTCAATTTGTAAGTCACTATAACCTTCAAAGTTTCCATATATTGAAAAAAGACTAGTTTGAACTTACTATTCATCTAAAAAAAGTATGACAAACAAAGATGTCAATACTATGTTAACCATTTCAATTGAGTTACATTCGAGAAAAAGATCATGTATAATAGAACTTAACAACTCAAATGCTCAAGTACTAGAATCTATCTTTTTTCAATTGACAAGTTCTTGATATTTATTCTCTAGAGTAGTATGACCCACATTAGGTCTACTATTGAGTAGTTGATTCTCTCTAAAGCATCATGTTCTTTTAGTACTCAAGATTTTATCATGACAAATGTTATTGTGTGACCATTAAAGAGAAAAAGTGATTAAGTATTTAGCTTATCACCTTTCTTAAAGTCAACAACTATAGATTTTAATGCCACGATCTATAAGATTTTAGAGACGTTTTATTCTCAATCAATGCCCATTTATGCACATATATTATCTTGTATTAATGCAAATTAACATACACGATAGTTTAATGTTAGGCACAAAATCAAAAGTTCGCTATATTCTCAATCATCGTCCACGATCCTATTGTTTCACTATCATAGATTTGATTTCATAATACAAAATTTCATGAGTTCTATGAACTCACTCTCGATAAATCAAATAGTTCTAGATGAGATTTTCTCTAAATCTTCCAATCACTTTACTTTCACTCAACTAACAACCAATTGGTCTAAGTAATAATCTCACTAATTCTACTGACCTTATCATTCATAACAATTCACGAATTAATAGACATCATGCAATTCAATGAGGTAATTTCATAATGTATAATAAAAGTATAAACATACACGTTTATCCAATTATGACATATATCATGATATCATAAATTAATTCTTTTAAAGAATAATTCCAATTATAATTGAAAAATAAAACTCACATAATTTAAGTTTTGTTATACAGATTTTCAATTTTACATTTGTTGGCATCGAACTCCGATCTCATAATGAGTCGTCTGCAGGCCCCACTTCAGTTAGATGCGAGTTCGGTCATGAAATTCAGCTCGGCATACTACAGCCGTAATCTCAAGAGGCATCATGATTATCTTCTATCACATCACCCTCTGAACCACCTACACTTGTAGAGGGTGATGACATCACCGCCCAAAGCCACCAATCCTAGGCCTCGAACCTTCAAATCACTTGTAAGTTTCATTACCTGAGAAAAGCATTGACACATAGTCACTGGCCTCATCAACCGATCATAGTAAAATTCCTCAACCCGACTTTCGAGTTTTGTCATGTTCTTGTGATTGATTTGATGTAATTTCGACTGTAGTCATGTAGCTGAGAAATAGTCTTCTTAAGGAAAAGGGGACTTGAAAGCAAACACGGCATACAATTTAAACCTCTTCAAAATATACCTTACCCTTTTTCATATTGGGGAAGATCACTCTTTTTCTTAAAGTTGACTCGAGATTACCGTCCACAAATTTTGACGTCAACAACATTAATATCTGTTGTAACAAAATCACAATAAATGGGAAGTGACATGAGAATTCTCATATACTACTCATCACCAAAGAAGTCCCAAAAATATTTACGTATTCCACTAGGTTATATTCCAGATCCACTTATTACTTTTAATAAGCACATAACTTTTTAACAGGTTCTATAATCTTTACTTTTCTAGCCATCACTCTAAGGATATTATAAGTCTGGATAGATCTAGCCATACCTAATCAAGCACAAAAATTGAAAATAAGTCACAATAGATTACATAACCTAATTAAATATCCACACAACTCATGAACGTAATAAAAGGTGGTATTTTAAATTTTTCTGTAGTATTTTTCATTCAAAAAACGAAAGCACTTCAAAAAATAACTCCCGCTTCCCAATATTCTTGATTTTATAAAAAAATAATTTAGAATTTAACGAGTTAAAAAATATTTTTAATACTTTTTACAAATTTATATTAAGCATTAAATAAAAAAATATATAAATATATTTTTAACCATCCAAAAATGAATTTAATTATAGTAAAAATAAAGAATAATCCAGAGACCAATTTGCAATAAAATTGAAATCGGGTCCTGCACGCTCCCTCACCTGTGAGGCCAATTTGCAATTTATTTATTTTTTAAAATTAACAAAAAGGGGCAAATTTTAAATTTTTTTTTTTTTAAAAAAAAAAAAAAGGGGGGGGGGGGGGGGGGGGTGAATCAATGCTACCATGCCGTCCTCGAAATCTTGTTTTTCCAATAACCATTCCGTCTAATTTCGACGATTTGATTTTATCAAATTTGTGTGATCAGACAAAATCAATTTTTAAGACCGTGTTTGCGACTTCAATAAATCTATCCGAGAGAAAATGGCAAAAAATTCATGTAAAATTTTTAGAATTTCAACCAAACTTCAAGATGTCATAACTTTTTCATTTCAAAGTCAAATATAGGGCATGTTCGGTAGTGAATATGAGAATTGATTTTTTGAGCGTTAGACAAAAAGGTGAATCCTACCTGTGAGTGAAGAAATCAAAAATAACGGTTGAAATAGTGAAATAACGATCAAAAAATTAAATTTCTGGAGTGCAAAATTACTACCAAATGGGGCATAATAATCTTTATACCATTGAAAATATCTCGGGAATATCTATCCAACCATACCAAATAAAAAGTATGAAACACGACGTATAAAAATTTATCATATGATGAAGTTTCAAATTTTACCAATTTTCATACAAAAAATCAAATTTTCATCCAAATTTCGGGAAGCAATACCTTCTTCATTTCGAAGCCAATATTTACGTTCTTTATATGATCGAAAAACTCATTGAAATACCTTTCTAACCATACCAATATCGCTACACAAAAATCATTGAATGAAATGTAGTACATTTTTAAAGCATTGCAAAATTGACCATGGTTTCGATTTTCTAATTTTCTCCCAAATGCAATAACGAAAATTGATGAAATATTGTATGTAAATTCTAAAGCATATTATATACATAATTCCAAAATTTTGTTAATTTTAGACATGTATATCAAATGATGCAATTAAAAACTACATAAGATATCAAAACTTTACATACAAGATTCATAACTCAATTGAATCATGTAATGACATATTCAAACATGTATTACAACAAGGAATTCAACCTTGCAATTCAGATACCAATGTAAGAATTCGCAATGTACATAATCATAAATTTCGGGCCAAAAAATTTGCTTGAAATGATGAATTTCAAGATTTTTTGAATTGTTGAATCACCTTACTTTCTAAAACTCCAAATCTACAATTTTCTTGCATTCCAATTATCCCATTCCCAATTACAATGAAAGAGGATTATTAGTCACAACCTAAGTGCCAATTTTTGTGATTTTTCATGCCAAAATAGTGGTCCTAGGTGCCTTTCAATTTTTGCACAATTTTTCTTGCCATCCTTCTCTCCCAAATGCTAGACAAAACATTGAAGGTTAAAATGAAAGCTATGGGAAGTTATGGGGATTGGATGTTAAAACCACTCCCTCCAATCCTTTCGATATCTTATGGGTTGGGTTACCCCACATGGGCGATCCACAATCCGTAATTTCTAACACAGAATAAGCATCAAATTTCAGAAGTGATCTGCAACTAATCCAACTTACAAACATGCATTGCATTCATTGAACAAAATTTTATCATATTTATGCTTCTAGCACAAAATAACATGTTGATAGCTGTTGATAGCTGCTGCTAATTATCAAGTCTTCGCCTTTATCTTCAAAGCATGGCTCACGTCGACATCTACATCGGCATCGGCATCATACTCATCGTTCATAATACCGATATCACCATCATCTTCTTTGTCGGGACCCCTATCACGTTTTACAAGCTGATTGGCTTCAAAATTTTCTTCTGCTGTTTTGACTAGAGAGACTTGCTTTCTGATCAGGTGTCCAACCAGATACCATGTCACTGAACCAAACCAGTAATTATCAAGTCTTCATCTTTATCTACAAACGCATGGCTCATGTCCATATCTGCATCTGCATCAACATCATCTGCATCGGTCATACCACCGATATCACCAACATCTACATTGTTCGGGATCCTATTAAGTTGTACAAGCTGATTGGCCTCAAATTTTTCTTCTGCTGTTTTTGCTAGAGACAGGAGAACATTCTTTGCTTTCTGATCAGGAAGAGTCCCACTAGATACCATTTCATTGAACCAAATCACGGCACTGGAGAAATCCTCGTTTTTACCAAAAGCATCCATGATAGTAGTGAGGATTGTCTGGTTCGGTTTGATACCTTGAACCCGCATATTGTTGTATTTCTCCATCATTTTCTCCATGTTATTTGTTTTTGCATAACCTTTTATCAAAGCCCCATAAGTCACGAGATTGGGTTCAAATCTGTCTTGTTTTATTCTTCGGAAAAATTTCTCCGCACCATCCATATCAGATGAATTAACATAAGCCGATAACATAGTCGTATATGAGCACAGATCAGGGGTACATCTGCAAAATTTAACACAACAAAAAATTAGTTACACTTTTGAATCGAGTATAGCTCACTGAATAACAACTAATACAATTAACACTTATCCCATCCATAGTGTATTGCCCGCGTAGGCCATGTGCAAATTTTGGCTATCTAAAATCTCAACAGCATGGTTTGATGGTTGAAAATAAATGATCAATCATTCTTTAAAGCCGTTTAATAAAGCCCAAATGTCACCAATTAAAGTAATTGGCCTATTCAACAAGAGCAAGACTTATCCTTGAGATCAAATCAGCATCTTAACCATTTGTTTCGAGGAATGTAAGCTATACAATAAGAGGTAACAGAGGAGAGAAACTAATTTCTTTTTGCATTGACAAGAAGGATGAGCTCACAAGATTAAATTTGGACCAATACTTACTATTTCATTCTATTTTCACGTCGTGACTCCTCTTTTGCAACTCTGAAAACAAAATTGTTGGGGAAAGAAACCCTTACCCTCTTTCTTCATCACTTTCAAATCCTTTAGACCTTCAAGCTGATATTCCAGCATTATTTAAGGGTAAAAGACATGCACTATCTAATGAACAGAATTAGGGCCATTTTCATCGACTACATCTCAGAAGGTTAGAAATAATTTCATGTTGAAGAGAAGATCATATCTATAAACTGAACAAATTGATTAACCTTAAACAACTATGACATTTAGCATCAGTTATCATCACAAATAGTAGACCAAAAAAGAGTACATGGAATGTCCTAGTGGTACTGGATGTAATAGAACAATTGTAGGGGAAGGGGAAGGGGAAGGGGAAGGGGAGAAAAGAAGAGAAACAAGGGGGAAACGAGGGAAGAAGAGGAGGAGAAAAAGAGAGAAATTGGGGAAGAAATTCAGATTATTTCATAATCAAAAGTTGTTCTATTACAACGCAAAAGAGCCCTTTATATAGAATTTGAAATATTCAACTAATAAAAGAACTAAATTAAACCTAATTATATTTCCTAAAATACGAATTAAAATTTGGAAGCTAAACATAATAATATTCTTTCTAATATTGCATTATTTCTCCCAGACTGAGAGAACTTGACTCCGGTGAGATAGACTTGTAAGTAGATTGACCTTTTGTCTTCAACAACTGCTTGTACTGGAACCTTGGAAAGCATTAACTTGCTGCACTCATACCAAGGAGGGCAACCTTTTTTAAGAACCAAGTATCTGAACTGATCACGTAACACCAACTGAACTCACAAAGCATCCTAAGAACATAATCTGACCAAGGGGAACAATCTCTTTGTCTAACCAAATACCTATTAGGAACTCCAAAAAGCAACAATATATGCAACTCAACTACAAAAGTTACTACGCGAAGAGCACGATAGACTGGTCGGCATAAACAAATGAGTGTAACATAGGTGGCTCAAACAAGCCCCGAGAAGTAAACAATTCAGTTGTATTGAAAACATAACCTTCATTTAAGTGTAATTGCCAGTCAACTAGTTTAGTTTCCAGTGATTGATCCAATTTTTTCTCCACGTGTTTTGAAAATTGTATCAAAGTAACATGCAATAAGGTATAAAAAGCACCATGAAAGTATGTGTGCCTAAATTGTATGTCAAATGCAAGCTCAAAAGTATAGAGGAAAATAACTTCTCATTGAAACTTAGCATGAAAATCAGCACAGTATGGAGCTAAAGCAATATGATGGTAATTAGTAGGCAACAATCGAATGTCGATAGGAAAAGTTTGTGATTAAACAATGACCTTGGAACATGTGGAAACCAAGGGACTATCATACTAACGAGGGAAAGTAATAGGAAAGGCAATATGAGTGTCACGTAGAGTAGATAAGAACGACATCGCGTAAGAACTCGAGGACAAGTGGACTGTTTGACTTAGGTGGTAAGACTATAGATAATTCCTCATCCTCACTATTAGAATATTAAATTGACTAGCAATGGAAACTTCATTATCTTCCTTAAGAGGAACACAACTAGACTCGGGAAGTGAATTTGGACTGGGATGGTATATCTAGCTTATGACACACTTGACAAAGATGGAAGGATAAATTCCATAAGTTGGCCTGTTGGCAAGCGCCATCTAAGGATTGGAATGCAGAACGATTATCGGGCAAGATTTTAGGATTCAAACTGTTGAGAAATCTAGACACTATAACGAGGAGCTTCATAAATATCACAACTGTGTAATAGCTTTTTGAAGTGGGCTAGCCATTTATTACTTAAGATTCGTTCCATCTTATCCTACAAAGTGGCGGGATGTTGACCTAGGTTATCAATGTTATACAAAAAAGACTTCCAATAACACCTAACAAATCCAACAAGTGCCATATCAGCATAACAAAGATGCGGGAGTCAAATAAGTTGTGAAATTCAAAGAATTTTTCAAGAACATCAAGCCGATCAAGAAATAAATTTGGTCCAGTGAGACCCTCGAAATCCCATAATTAAAATGCTACTTGTTCAAAAGGAGTATATGTCCCTTACAGAGTGTCAAAATGGACGATAATTGCATAAATGAGTGCAAAGTGAAGGTATATGACCGTGGTAGCAAACTAAGGGCATGTTATGGGTGCAAGTGTTGTTACAAGAAGCGTATGTGGTGTACGATGACTTTCTTTTTTTTTTCTTTTTTATTTTCCCTTCTAATTAACATGCCAAAACACCTAAATAAAGATTAGAGTTTTCAAATAACAAGATAGTATACCTCATGGCACTCGTTTCCAGTGACTGGTGGTGCACAAAGTTTCTACTTCCAGTTCATAGCACGAATGGACTGCCTAGATGATCGTAAGAGTTGCTCTGATCAATATGTGGAAGAATTTGCTTGATTGCTGTCCAAAACAATCTGTATGACCACTATCCCAAATTCTTGTTTAATCTTACACAACTAGAAGCAATATTAATCAGGCACACGGTCTATAATTATGCTGTTGGGTACCAAAGATGTAGGCATGACAATGAAGGGAACGGATTGTGGATGTGGATATGGATGTGGTTGTAGCTATGGTTGAAAGAGTTGTAGTGGCATTGGGAGGATGGTATATGCGGCAACAAATTGTATTTGGGTAGGGTGTATCATGACGACTAAGATGGCGGCGAGTGGTGGCCGTGTGATGCCAGTGATGAATAGCTATAGGCAACAGGGGTGGTGTCGACAAGGTGTTCGGTGTAGTTGGTGCGAAATGGAGTGGCTGACAACAGTTCAGGAGTTGGATTGTGGGTTATGGTAGAGATTTGTAGAGGGTTTCAGCCGAAGAAGCGACAAGCAGCACTAATCATTATAGGGTCTGGAGGTGAGATTGATATGATGATCGACGGGGAGTTATAGAGCAGTTGCAAGGGAGGGAGGTGGCTGGTGTTGATAGCATGAGGATAGTAATAGATAGGGCTACACAAAAAAATTGTAAACCTCAAAGGCTCAAACCGAACCTAAACTGTTGATTTGAAACCGTCGGTTCGCGTCCAAGTGGACCCACGATTTTTATTCCCTCAAACCAAACCAAACCATTTCAAAATGGTTTGATTTAGGTTTGAATTTTCAAAAACCTCATAAAACCAAACCGAACAGCTAAAATTTTTTAATTAAAACATTAATTTTATTAATTTATAAATTTTACATTTTTCAATTTTAAAAAAAAAAAAAAAAAAACCAAT